CGAAACACGTGTACTTTGCAAATTAACGTACGCGGGTTTTGCTTAAATGCACCCAGGTGTGTGTTTTGCGGCAGGGTTTTTTTTCGGGTTTTTTGCGATAGGGGTAGAGGAGCCCTCACGAGTATGGCAGAGGAGTCATTTCAATGGTCCGTTTGTACCTTCGGGTTTGGCAAATTAACAGTGTTCTAAAACTGAGAATTTAAACTGCCAAATATTTCCTTCAGGCTGCTCAGGAAATTCCTTCTTCTGGGAGCCGGACTTAAAACCACCACATACGCATAGGTAAATAGGCATAGGTTTAATTCTAGCATTTTTCCAACCAAGTTATGTAGTATGCTGTGATATTGGATGGCGTTATTCTTTTAATACATAATTTTATTTGTTTATTGCATTATCCTAATGTAGACAACATTTTATCCTGATGTCCTCGGACTACCACACTTAGTTAATGATAGTTCATTATGTCCTCAGAAGGGAGCAGATCTAATTTATTTTGAAAAATTTTTGTTAAACAAGATTTGCAGATAGAGGAAAGTTCAAAAATCTCCCCAAACAGGAATGGCTGATGCATGGTGAGGCAGAAGACGATGTTGGAAGTATTTCGTTCTCTAGATTATTAACAGAATTAGTAAAGATAATTTCTCTTGAGTTGAAACATCCATTATTTAATCCAAGAGCTGCAGCTGAGATGCCTTAACAAAGGACCTAGAACTTGTCTGATATTTAGTGTGAATTTCATTCTCAATTATAAAATGAACTAGGAAAAATATGAAATTAGCAGATATCTTATTTTTGTTACACTATTTACATACTAAAAATGTCCTGTGCTGCATTTCTCATAGTGGTTCATCTTTGTGACGTTTCCTACAGTCTATGAAGGTGTTATTATCTTACTTTACCTTTAGTTGCACATTAACTACCAATAGCGCATGATATTTTTGGCATCTGTGTAGGATAAGAAGGTGATGCGTTATGCAGTTACTATGAGATGAGAACATCACGGGACAGACAATGCTCACCCTTCAAAAACCAAGAGCATTTTGGTTCTAAGAGGCCCCAGCTGCCTTCTGCAAGGTGCTAAGTCACTCTGAAATTCAGTGGGCTTTGATGGAAATGCAATTGCCAAAGGATCTGCAATTTCTCACAGGATTGGGACGTTGGGTCCTGACCTACAATGGTGCTTAGGTACTGAACTTGGGTTGATGTTACTGGGAATTAAGCACCTAAGTATTTTTGAGGTCATAGGTTTCAACAGGGATGTGAAAAATGCAGTTTTTACTTAGGCAGCTGCATGGCTTCCCTTTTTGTGCTGTTTTCCTTACTTAGACTTTACAGCTCTGTTTTTTCCACTGTTTTAAAGTTCTGGCTTTTGGCCTGTGCACTTTATACATACATTCAAAAGCATTTCCTTGAGCACTTCTCTTTTTTAGGGTTGACTTGCCAGTTATCCATACATAGAAGTCTCACAACATGAATGAGAGAGAATTCCATCTTTAGTTTGTGGTGGTGTGTTGTCACCAAAACCAGAGTGGCTTCCCATGTCATTCCTGTGAAAATAATCAGGCACAGGAGGGAAAAGAGAGTGTTAACTATGTCAACCATGCACCAGTACCCAATCTTCTGTAGTCAAATTTTATGTGTAATGTGAAAAAATGCATTAAAATGTTGTGTAATGTCCAGTCGAGTAATTAGAAGTTATTA